TCGCAATGGGAATTTTCTGCAGAGCTTAAAAGTAATTGTTTCATTGTTTATAGACATAATATACGTAATTTGGCCGCTGCCAGATGCGGGAAGAAACTCTGCGAGTAATAGTGACGATGATGAGCCCTGATGCAGGCGGCAGGGGAAGCGGTTACGAGGCCTGCGCTCCATCATCACAAGACCGTAATTTTGTATTGTAGTTCTTTGAACGTTGATATGCAAGCGATAACTTATTTCCCTCATTTCTTTAACTGCTGAACATTTCTTGGTGTGCGAGCGATCATTTATCTCCCGTGATTGATTTGACAACATTCGAGGCAGTTTGCACTTGGCCGGATCGCAGATGCAGCGCCATCATCACCAGGCACTCGGTGCTCGGCGCCCATCATCACCAGACACTCGGCGCCATCATCACCAGGCACTCAGTGCTCGGCGCCCATCATCACCAGGCACTCGGTGCTCGGCGCCCATCATCACCAGGCACTCGGCGCTCGGCGCCATCATCACCAGGCACTCGGTGCTCGGCGCCATCATCACCAGGCACTCGAGCCACAAGTTCCATTATCGCCGCCGGGTATTTTTTAATTGGGTTGCGGTGCGATGCTCATCAGCTCGCGACAAAACACCAGGAATTTCACATTCAAATGCACTAAATAACCGTTGCCTGAACAGGCCGTAGAGTTCCATGGAATTTCTCTGGCAAGAAGTTATCATTAGATGCTTGCTTGCTCAAAATATCTTAAGAATAAATGTTGCGTTCTTGTAATAGAACTCCAATATGAGGAATTATTAGTTATGAACATTAGTTAACTAAACTAGTTGTATTCCATAGTAAATCTAGCTTAACATTTTATGATATCATATGATATATTTATCGAAATAGGGAGAAAAAGTTCATCAAATTCAACTTTATTCTATTCATGTTCAAAGAGTATTGGAAATACCATCTCAGTCGGCATTATATAATTGATGTGTGTAATTTCAAATGAACATTTCATTTAGACTTTCCACGTATCATTATTTTTAGCGCGTTTACTCATTTATGGAAAAAATGCACTATTGTGCTCGCCATGTCCGTCCGTCTGTCCGTCCGTCTGTCCGTCCGTCTGTCTGTCCGTCCGTGACTTCACGTTTTCGTCGACGATAAAATGCGCTCTCTGTCACTCACTGCAGTGAGTACCGAGTTATATTTTTTAGACCTTCAGTAACCAGTGGCCATACTCACAAAACTCGCTAAGTGAACGTAAGTACTTACGCTCTATTTTCTTGGTTATGATTGGTGGAATTGGCTTGAAAGGCCGTCAATGATTGGCTGATAAACATACGATCTCTTAACTTTTTTTGAAAGTATGTGCTCAGGTTTCTTACTACCGCAGTTTGCATGGAAGTTCATTTCTTATCTTCAGTTCAGCTGTGCTCTAGGAGCCAAATATTTCTGTAAGCTATACCTTCTTGCTTCACCGTATTAATTGTTCATGATCAATCCGATTTGAATTGGTTGCGGTAATATTTTACACCGAAATGTTCATAAGAAATTATTTAATTAAATTGCTAAAATTCTGTATTTTTCAATATCAGAAACAATGTTGTCCAAAGACCATAAATAAATTCGAAGACCACTAGTCTTCGCATTCGAAGTGCACTAGTATGTGCGAATGATTGGAACTTGAAAACCAATTAATTATCAAAATCTATCAATAAATTTGCAAGTCCATCGATTACGGGGCAGGCGTTTTTAGCTAAGCTCCATTTTAGCTCCATGCAGTGCAGACCGGTGCTTTTTATTCAAAGTAGAAAAATACAACTACAAGAGGGAATAAAGAAATGTAGTTATAAGGTCAAACAAATAAGAATCAAGAAGCAAAATAGTGCAAATTAAAGGACGTGAAAGAGAATAAATGAGAAGCAAGTAAGAATGCAACAGAGAAAAATTGAAAAATGATGTTGGAGTGAAGCGAAGCAGAAAGGCCAGATGCCTATCAGTGCATCTAATCGACATCACATGGAGGCGGCGTAACGGGCGAGGCATCGGCGGTCTCGATTAGACGGCGAGCCGCCGCTGCAGCCTCGAGTTACGACTCTCACACGACACTCCTGCTCTGCAGCCTCGAGTTACGACTCACACACGACACTCCTGCTCTGCAGCCTCGAGTTACGACTCACACACGACACTCCTGCTCTGGAGCTTCAACTTACGACTCACATATGACGCTCTGCAACTCAAAAACTCGGCCTAAATGCGCACTTAAAAATTAAATCGCTGCACCCCAACGACGCCGGGCGCTCGGAATACCCCTTACGACCGGTACCTCTTGCTTGCCGCATGGGCCAAGAAATGCAATACGGCTTCATTGCTAATATAGGCTATCATTTCTATTAGACAAGGGTTAATGGAAACTTTCCTTTATAACATCTTGACCTCCCTATCCCAATAATAAACCCCGAGTTATAAAACCTCTGAGAGAATATTATTTGATACAATACCTTCACTGGAATCGATTAAACAAAGGTTCTCCGACGAGCCTTGCATATTCATTTATCGCTGAAGCTCTTCTCACAATAATGAACTAGAAAAGATCGATACAAATACAATACAAATGTTCAAATGTCATCAACAAAGAAAAAATGCAGACGCAGCAGCACAAATGTGACTATTTATACTCGTTGCAGCTTGAGTTAGTCAGCAAATAAACAGCCTATTATGAGCAGCAAGATTGCGTGCAACCTAATGAGAATGACTTTTGATTCCTCGCCTACGAAATAAAAAGCTTTACAAGCAACAAGTTGCTATAGTGACAGAAATAAAAATGAAAAGTCTACTGTGGATAAACCGGTGGTATGAAACATAGTGTACTGCGTTTGACTTTTGTTGCACAAACGTAAACGAATGATGAAAAGAGATATTTTAATGCATTTTGATTAAATAGAGCAAACTCTCGTCAGTTGACCTGTAACAGCTTTCGTTAGAGAGCATGGAACTCGTCCTTGAATAGAAGATGATCGAAGCAGGTTCGCTGTTTTCTAGTCACAGCAATCGATCAAAGTTCCAGACCAGACACAGAGCACAAGAAGAAACCAACCAGTTTCTTAATTGAAGAAATGAGAAATGTGCGTCTGACCTGAGCTCGATGTCAACATTCTTAAGAGGTTATTTTCCACTCCGTTTGATGCCCTTGCGGCAATGGATGTAACGGAAAATCGTACTTCTTCGATACATTTTTGGAGTATTTCAAGACAAACTTACAGAGCTATTGTCCACTCGACCGGAGAGCGTTCAACGTCAACCACGTCATCAAAGATCCAATGAAAGGCTATCATGTTTTCTTCCCGTCAATTATGATGAAATGGTCATCCCCTCCAGTTATTCGGTTTGAGACCAATCCCTAAAAACTGCCCTCAGAATTACCACTGTTAAATATATAAGATAAAAAGCAACAGATCTTTGCAACTGATCATTGCCATCAAGATTTTCGAACGAAGAAATTTGAAGGCAAAAAATTTCAGTCACTTTCTGTTAACGAATAAATTTAATTAAAGCGTCAATTAGACGATAAATATCTTCTTCTAAAGCTAGGGCAGATGAAAAACTGACTCAATGCGTGAACCACAAACACATCAACGCATACAAATTCAATAAAACGCAATAGTTTCCCAAAACCATTGATAATAAACAAAAAGGTTGTCATTTTAATGCAGAAGGATAATCAATGCATTCATCTCCTGAAAGAAATTCTTCAGAAGAAGCGTGAAACGATGAGGTGAACCTGCCAATGACACTGAACTGTCAGAGCTGCACGTCAGGTCCCTCGTCATCGTTCCTTTGAACAGTCGAGGCACACGGGCACTTGACGATTTATAGGCACACGGGCCTATACAGGCCCGTGTGCCTATACACGGGCCTGTATAGTGTATATACAGTATATACAGGAGTGTGTGAGATTCTATTCTAATAGCCTAGGAATCACTGTAATTAAACATTAAATATTCATTCACTGAGTGCCTTTCCATGATCAGTAGACAAACCGAACATTTATGACATCATGTAACAATAATCATGCAGGATAGTTTCGAGAAACCTTGGCAGAAGCAATATGACAAATTCAATTTATGCCATCGCCACCAAATTAATTTAAGTCTAAGTCAATAATTCAATAAATGCCACAACCACCACCATCACAAAACAGAAAGGCGATCAACTTGATTTTTTTTTATTTGATTTTGATTTATTTATTCACACAGGAGCACACGTTACAATGAAAAATAAAAAGAGACGTGAAATAAAATAGCAAGGCTTCCAGGTGAATGCCCATAAGCTAAAAAAGCTTCGCAGGCAAAACAATAGGTACAAGACTCAATTCCAATGATAACAAGACGGCGATTTGAACAAATAAGTAACAAATTTATAAAATTAGCAAAACCATTGACAAAAGCCTTAAAAACTGATAACCGTATGTCATAGCAGAAAAATCAGCAAAAAAGGGGCATTTTAACATTACACTTGGTAAAACAGAGTACAACTATAAACATCTAGTCAAAATACCTAAAAACTTGCATAATAATCGAAGTCAAATTAATACTGGTTAAGGATAAAATCACGGTTTTTTATTTTTAAAAACATTTTAGAGCAATCTTGTTTGAACTCATCGGGCAATTCGTTAAAATATTTGACACAATTAAAAACTTAGTCAGGAGCGCATCACTTCATCACATGAACTCAAAATAACGTCGTGTAAGCTCAAACTATAACTACACGCGTCTCGTGCCGGTTGTTTCTCTGCAATAGTTAGTCAAAATCATATTCGTAACTGAGTTGAAAATCAGTCGGTCGGCTAAAGTTCAATAAATGAACATAGCTGCCTACAAATGTAGTGAAGAAGGGATAGCCGATAGCTTAAATGAGTCTATTTCAGTGATAAACGAAAATAGAACCAAGTGATCTTAACACTCTTAATCTGTAACACGACGGGGTCCGTAATATCAGGAGTTCCGGAAAAATTACTCTATACCTGTAACATGATAAATTGTGAAAAATTGCTTCAAGACATTAGTAATAGAATTACGTGCACATCAATTTTTAACATGCATATTTAGTCCTCTTCAATCAATAAGAAAAAAATTATGATTGATATACAAATATCGCGGTAATGTATTATGCATACCATATATATCGTGAAATTGAAATTATCGACCAATGTAGGATTGAACTCTGAGAAAGAATGGAGGACGAAATTAAGCGAGCAAAGATATCGGCTGCGGAGTCAGCACCAGAGTAGCAGAACATAAACAAGAATACAAGAGAATCGCTGCGGTAAAAAACGCTGAGGCATCCAAGCGAAGAACTGCCTGGAATGTTGGCCGGGTTGTGGGGAGAGGGGCAGGAGGGGGAGGATGAGGGGTTGGTTGTGTGAGGCTGGAAGAGGTGCTGGTTAGGAGGGGGAGGGTGAGGGGCTGGTGGTTGTGTGAGGGTGCAAGAGGTGCTGGTGGGGAGGGGGAGGGTGAGGGGCTGGTGGTTGTGTGAGGCTGGAAGAGGTGCTGGTGAGGAGGGAGAGGGAGAGGGGTTGGTTGTGTGAGGGTGGAAGAGGTGCTGGTGAGGAGGAGGAGGGTGAGAGGCTGGTTGTGTGAGGCTGGATGAGGTGCTGGTGAGGAGGGGGAGGGTGAGGAGCTGGTTGTGTGAGGCTGGAAGAGGTGCTAGTGAGGAGGGGGAGGGTGAGGAGCTGATTGTGTGAGGCTGGAAGAGGTGCTGGTGAGGAGGGGGAGGGTGAGGAGCTGATTGTGTGAGGCTGGAAGAGGTGCCCTCACAAGCAACCTAACAATATACATATAAGGTAAGTACACTGAGTAGCTGTTTCAATATAACGGAAAAAATCAGTTAACACATGTTAGGCTGGATGGTGTCTTGAAATTGAAAAAAAAACGATCTACAGCGCCAAGCAAATAGTTTAGTAGACGTCAAAATAATGACGATGAGACATATAATTTCAAACTTTCGGACTTAGATTATATTCCCGTTAATTACCGTTTGAAATAAGGAAGCATTGTATTTATGGAATATTTCCTGTTATGCATATTTTTTTACGGTCGAGTTTTAACATGAGGCCGAAAAGACGAATATACTAACAACTATTTCGAGTGAAAGTTCAGGGTGGGAAGCTGAAGTATTTTACTGAGTAACATATACTGAGTTACTCATCGTACAGAACAATACACTGAGATGCAATGCTAAAGAAAATGCCATGTAAAATATCATGAGAAATTAACTGGGTTCGGCATCGAACAGCGTATCGAGTAATACGCTAGGAAATTATGTTGACAATAACGATGGAGTGATGAGTAGGCAACAATAAAGTGGCATGTAACAGGTCAAGTAGATGTGATGCGCACAGCAATGAGGTAAATTATTGTTTAATGTTACACACTCAAGTTCTGCATGAGCCAGTAAGCCAAAACATTATGTGTCTGTTGTGGAATTTATATAGTACTGCGGTACTGCAGTGTATAGTAATACACTGAAGATCTGAAGATATTCATGTGATTAAATCTCGAATTTTGAATTTTAAGCAGTACACTTGGGTGGAAGATACTTGTGTAATTAAATCTGCTTGAATCGAGTATCAATATCTTATAAATAAATTTGCGGGTAAGATGTGTCCATCATATTCATCGTTAAATATCTTACACTACCGAAAATATTTAAATGACGAAAACGCGGGCGCTTCTATTAATTACTGAATAGAAAATATAAACAGAACTGGAATATTCATTACTGAGAGAAGGAATTTTATGAAATATGGAGGGAGATCCTACGTTGACCACTAATAAATTTGAAGGACAAACGAGAGGGAGAAGGACAAAGAGAAAGGCAGGGTTAACCAGAGCTTTCTGAAGCGTTCCAGTGACCTTGAAACTCGCTCCAACCTCCATGGATGTAAATGACCAGACGCACCGCGGTTGGTGTTACGCATTATGATTGAGCAGGTATGTTGAACGTTAGGGAGAGTGTGATGGTGTCAAGATTCAACTTTAAATTCACAGCAACTGCCTGGCAGTGAATATACAAATCGTATTTAATTACCCGGCGTAGAAGTTATGTAATCAATTTTAATGTGAATACATTATGAGTATCTAACATGACATTATTCATGCAGAATACCCGAGGAGGATAATCAAATAATCAAAAACTTTTAAACAAGATGTACGGTTTAATTGTTGAAAGAAGCGAGTCTTCCATAGAAATGAGATCAACTTTATCGTATATATCGTAATTGAATAAACATTACGTTATTAGAGATGTGTCCGAACGTACATAAGTTCAATGACTCGTGTTAGTCTAATTAATCACAGAAACAAACAATGAGGCCTAACAATAGGAGGGAGTTTGAGATTTGAATCGGGTTAACATTGCAAGAACTGCGTTAGTTTCCAGTCAATTCAAGTCCATACATTGGAACGAATGACTAAAATCCATCACTGTAAACATTCAATATACTGCAATGCATTCACCTGTACAATGTACCTCGCAACAGTACGATAATAATTAGATAATTAGATAAACAATTTATTCACGGACGCATAAAAGCAGTTGATAGATTAAAATCAACGATATCACACAATGTTCGTAAAAATAAATGGGCAAAACTTAACAATTTCAAGCACGGTCGATACAAATGCAACCAAGAGTGATGTAGGAATTTGTTGTATAATATACGACCGTTGACGAAAGCAGCACAAGCGTCAGGTCTGACGTGTAGGCCGAGCAAGTAAACAGCGCGTCTACAACAAAGAACATATGGCGAGCGTTGCGAGAGGCTGTGAGTACAAAGGATGTGCCATGAGCAAGCAACTCCATGCAAGTTTTGTCCGTGAAAACTGAAGATCGGTCGGCATGAGAGCTCAGGCGCATTTTTCACAGAAGCCGAGACGAAACAACAAAAAAAAAACTCAGTTTAGTAAGAAAGAAGATCAGGTTCCATCAGGAATAGACTTTAGGGAGATATACGATTACATGATTACGAGTTCCCGATAGAAACAGATAATTTGTTCCGATAATGAATAGAAGAAAAGATTGAGATAACAACATTCAACCATTTCAAACATAAAAATAACAAATATTCACTAGTGAAAATATGATATCAAGATTATCTTAATCCTTCTATTTAATCATGACAGTAGTCATGCGTATTGATCCAATAATTAATAGACAAAAACATTTAGATAACAACATTCAACCATTTCAAACATAAAATAACAAATATTCACTAGTGAAAATATGATGTCAAGATTATCTTAATCCTTCTAGTTAATCGTGACAGTGGTCATGCGTATTGATCGCATTAAAAATAATGAAGATAAAGGGTCGATTAAACATGAAAACCAAGCCCTTAGATGAAAACTACATGCATGCATCGACATACAACTGTGAGGTTATAGCGAGTGCAATGGGTAGTGATGATGTGGACAATAATAAAGAGCGCACGTGTATGAGGTATTTAAAAAATATTTACATTTCTTGGATGGTTGTGCGATGAATGCAAAAAAATATAACTCAGTACTCACTGCAGTGAGTGACAGAGAGCGCATTTTCTCGTCGACGAAAACTTGAGGTCACGGACAGACGGACGGACAGACATGGCGAGCACAATAGTGCATTTTTTCCATAAATGAGAAATTGCGCTAAAAATAGACTAATTTATGAATAGCTTGCACGCGTGCTCATGACGATGAATAAGAAATGATGTTCGGTACCGGGGAAAATTGATTAATATTCTGCGAAGGGGAATACTTTGGAGAAGAGTAGAAGAAATGTGTATATGAGTATTGAGAGTATTGGTGAGATTGTATTGGTGAAATGTGAAGTGAAATGTGAAGAAGAGTATTGGTGAAATGTGTATATAGTGATATACATACTAGGAATTTGCCGGGGTGATAATGAATATAATGATACAGGACGGCTGGATGGGCGATACTGGGTTTAGATGATGAATATAGTGATGCTGGACGGCTGGGTGGGCCATACTGGGTTTAGATGATGATGAATATAGTGATGCTGGACGGCTGGGTGGGCGATACTGGGTTTAGATTATGATGAATATAGTGATGTGAGACGGCATGATGAATATAGTGATGCTGGATGGCGGGGTAAGCGACATTAGGCCCGGTAGTAAAACAGGTTGGCGGGGTAGACGAAACATTGCCTGGGTGATAATGAAAATAGTGATACAGGACGGCGATGTAGGCGATACTTAACCCTGATCATGAATTATAGTGATGCAAGGCAGCTAGGTACGATATATTGTAGCAAACGAGGGGCACACTCAGGATGTTCGGACGTGGCGATGATGATGGACGGACAGCAGCCGCCAGCGCCCGACTAGCGCGTCTGGCAGGACACCGTGGGAACACAGCGCAGGACGCGCAGAATTGCGATGTGAAAAAGACCTGACGAGCAGCATTAGTGGAGTGCCTTTCCGCTAACATTTTCCATTCAAAGATGGCAGCTAAATAAACACGCTGCTAGATAAACGCTGGTGAATAAAGTTAGGTTTTTGTGAACGGTTTGTGTGATTCTTCTGGTTACCGGGTTAATTTTACGTAATGAAAAGTGCGATAAATAACACTCAAACCCGAGAAAATATTGACGTATCGTTTAAGCAGTTTAAGCGATATGGATAATCACGCTTTTAAATTGAGACATGATAGTTGGGCTAGTATAGTTCATAAAAACTGCAGTTAGTTTCCAATAATCACTTTCTGAAGTTTGTTTATACAAGAAGAGTGAAAAATATTTATTGATTGATAAAATGAAATGCTGTCACGGTCTAAAGACGATCGGACTGACTGTGACGATTATTGTTGTAGAGATCATTTAGAAGTCGGAAGGATTGGCTTTAATAATTTATTGCAGTTATTACTTTGCAATGATTCCTTACAATGCGAAAGAAGTTTTTAAAGCATAACTTCTTAACTGACAAACAAAGTAATTCTGTTTTTTGCAGTTCGAATAATGTAATGAGGGGAGATTTTTAACAGAGAATCTATAGTGTGTTTTTTAATTATAATTAAACAAGAAACATTAAACAAGATGAGGCTTAATCATTAACTACTCAACATTCCTTTTCGAATAAGTATTGCGCAGTTCTTTAAGCCAACCTAATGATGGCATTCACTTTGATAACGATCGTCTTCAGGCGTAAAAGACCAGAGAAGAAGCCTGCAGTCGAGTTAGTGAACTGCAGAGCTCAAGGCCTGCGCAACGTCAACAAACAATGTAACATTTCCCACCCTGGGTCGTCAGAACAACAATGAAGTAATTCTGAAGACGAGTTTTGTGCGATCCTGCAATTGCCAAACAATTCAGTGCGTTGTAACACCTGACAGTCTACGTCAGAAGATACAATGTTACGAACACAGAAAGGCCACAACATTGTATTTTTTTTCTTCCTTATATATATATGGTAATGCGTTATAATTCGGGCTAATGTCGTACATAAAGATGTCGGTGCTATATCCGCTGTTTCAAAGCTAATGATAAAATTATCTTTTTTAATATCGATAGAGTTTCAAATAAAACAATATTGAATGCAGTTTCGACTAAACTGTATTCAATATGAAAAACTTCATTAATGCATCAATCAAGAAGCCGCACTCAACGCAGAGCTTGAACTGTTAATATAATTAAAGTATGTAAAGTATAAACAAAAAAATAAATATAATAAAGTAAAATTTGAATTGAAAAATGTAAAAAATACGTAAAAATCTTTAATCTTATTTTCTCTTATGATCAAAATTTCATCAAGTCTTATCAAGTCA